CAAGAATGGGATTTTAATTGTCACTGCCTTTTTCTATGTGGACCGAAAGTCAGCTCTCAAGTTAATGAGGCAAGGCCAAGAAGAATAGCGTGAGCCAATAGTTGAGCATGGTCACAGACACTCTGGCCTCTACTTTCATGAGAACTGTGTTTAGGGTGTCATTAGAGACATTTTGGGATCTGAAAGTCCAGTATTAGAAATCTGGATGGAACAAGTTTTAAGGGTGCAAAATTGGAGGAAGAGCCCACCTGGGCTCCATGCAGGAGTTGTGCTATTTATTTTTATTTATTTATTTATTTATTTGATTTTTATCCTGTTTTTATTATTTTACAAATAACTCAAGGCAGCAAACATATCAAAGACATCTTTCTCCTCCTCCCCCCCCCCACCCCCAGCAACAATAAATTTGTGAGGTGAGTTAGGCTGAGGGAGAATGAGTGGCCCACAATCATATGACTGGCTCATAGGCTTGGCTTCAAATAATTTGAGTGCTGCAGATATATAGTGATATAAAGCATAAAGTAGAATTATTACTTTTGTAATTTAGAAAGTTTATTTCTCTGTTGCTGACATTCAGTTTTATGAATTCAGTTTTAATCTACATTGAATTTTGACTATATATGTAATGGTTGGCTCCCAGATTATTAATGAATGGAAGGGAAACAACAGGCTTCAGCTGTGTGACTTTGGGTTTTAGGGCCCTCTGCTTCTAGGACTCAAACATCTCCAATGCTGGAGAGGGTTGCACCAGTGATGGGATTCATCCAATTTTCACCGGTTCAGGCAAACAGGTTGTTAAATTATCCCCCCTGCTATCAAAGTGGATCCTGTGCGCTGTGTTGCAATCAAGAAATGGGCAACGGAGCAGCCAGAGCAAGAGAAGGAGAAGGCCGTTTTCCCTCTTTCTTCTCCCTGCTCCTCCTCCTTCCCTCATGCCAGCCACTCCATTGCCTGTTTTTCCATTGCAGCGCAGTGCCCAGGATCCACTTTGATAGCAGGGGGGGATAATTTAACAACCAGTTTGCCCAGGTCAGGTTGGCCATCACAGGAAGCTCCTCCCACATGTGTGGCAGAGCTGGAGGACAGGAATGGTCCATGCTTCCCATGACAGCCAACCTGACCCTGGGCAAACTGGTGGGTCCTCCTGGACTTATGACTTCATGTTAAATCCCAGGACTCCCATGTAAAATTTCCAGAACATAGATGAGCATAGCCAGGTTCTGACAGTCTAGAAAGGCTGAATATTTTGAAAAAAATATTGCATACTCTAGGCTACTAAGGTTCCCTAGTGGTAATGTTAGATCCAGAAGTTGCTCCGAATTATACTTCTTTTCTACAAAGGTTGGGTACTCTGCATGGGGGTGGGTGGGGGGAATATTGAAACCATTTGTTGTAATAGACTCCAGCTTTAGTTATTTCATTTTCAGTTATTTCACTTCCAGTTCAATTTCATTACTGAATTTAGAGCATTTCTATAGCTTCACTTGATTCTGATAACAGGATTTAAAAGAGAATTAGAAATCCTCAATGTATACTTCAAACTTAATTCCAAATGTTTATATGGCTTTGTCTGGCAGATTTATATAGATACTATAGAAAACGGAGGGAGAATACAACATCAAAGTTCTTAAGAATCAAAAAATCCAAAGAAGTTTCTCTATACTACCTTTTGCAATTGAACTTCTAAGAAATGTTTAAACCGGGGATGTCAAACTCACAGCCCACGGGCTGGATGCATCACGTGCTGGCCCCACCAATATCTGGTTTAGCGAAGGGGGGGAAAGTCTTGATATGTCACATGACAATGTGAGTTTGACACCCCTGGTTTAGACAAATTGAATCTCCAGGATGAAGCTGTTTTGCCCCAACCCTGAGAGCAGATTGGTTAAGATTCCATGACCGCTGATATCAAAAGCTGCTAAAAGATACAGATGAATAATTAGGATTTTCATTTTGCTTGCTTTTTCAAATCTAGGTCCAATAGGATGATCAAAAAAGATTTCACATTCAATCCTTTAGTCTAGGCCTGATTTAAACAGGCACAAATGTTTTAACTGAGAGCAACTGTACAACTGTTTGGCAAAAATGAGATATTTGAGAATTGGGCAATAGTTTATATGCAGTTTTTATTTCAGTGAGATGGCATGCTGTCACTGTTATTGCTTCAAAGAAATGTAGCCCCTTCCTCTTTTAATATGGCACTAATACAGTCTTGGAGCTGTCCAATTAATACCCAGGAAAGGGAGCATACAAATGATTTAGCATAGTTCTGTACGTACTGTATCTCTGTTATAGATGAAATAACCAAAATAAATTGCATAAAGCCGGATCACTGGACACTCCCTTGAAACTGTACAATATTAATGTCTAGATTGAAGGATATATAATTCATTTCACTGTATAAATACTTAACCAACTTGTCACATCAAACTTTTGAGTGTTTCAAAATATTTCTCACATAGCCTAGATTAGATAGCTTTGTCAAACCACTCTTTTGATTGGCTTCATGAGGATGCAATGAAAGAATCTTAGTTGAGTCTCGTTCTTATTTTTGCAATGGTAAGTTAATCAGTATATTTTTTAAAAAATTATGTCCCATGTTTTGCTTAAGAGTGATTTGAATCCAGAATCATACTTTCGGGCAATTGTTCTCTAAACATGTCTTGAATATAGCTGCTAGCCATCCATACAAGAACTGTTATTATTAATAATTTTTATCCTGCCTATATGTGTTTGGTGACAGACATACCTAATATTCCAGCCCCTTATTTTCCCCAGAACAACAATTTTGGCTGAATCAAAGTGTTCACATAAGTTCTTTGGGGAATTAGAAAATGAGAGATATTCTAATTATTTTACTTGTGAGAATTAATAGGCAGTTCTAAAGTGGAAGTAATTAGTTCATGCAAAATAAATTTTTAAAACTCAAACTGCAGGTCGTTTTCTGGCATAATCAAGGTAGAAACAGTACAGCCTCTGACTTGCAAATAACTTGGTTAAAGGTTGCCAAAAATCTGAAACAAAGAAAACAATGATAGAAATGATTTCACCAGTTCCAGAGATCCTGCTATTTTAAAAAAAAAAGGGGGGGGGGAGGTTTGAAATAAATAGAGATTACTTTAGCATGAAATACATGCCAAGAATGAAAAATCCATGACATTTTCAGGATTGCACCAACAGCTCTGAGAGAGTCATTTTCCTGGTTTGTTCATACCGGTGACTGTTCATAAGCCAAATGGTCCAGGTGCTTGCTATTGGGATATGTTTCCCAAGGTCTAAGTAATAAAACTTTTTCTTGGTGCCTCTTCAGGGAAACATTAGCATGAACTGAGTGATCCGGTTAGATAAATGGATTCTTTATACAAAGTAGCATAGTATGCTATTACACAGCCATAGCGAATCTTTCTAATCTAATCTCTTCCAGAACATTCTGTTTGCAATACATTTAGATCCGAATCTCAAAAACTAAGACCAAAGATCAAGACATTTTTAATGCATAAAAAGCCAGATTACTTTTAAAAAAATATATCTGAACATTGGACATAAGCATCTAGGACTTGAGTCATTCCCCATTCTTTTATTTCTCCAGAACTATATAATAATTCACAGGCTATAAAGGGTACTTGGGAGGTGACATTCTGACAGAAATTTTCATCTCAACGTTCCATATAAGATCACGTCTGGGGAAGGAACTCCAATCATTTAACACAGAAATTCCCCAGGGCATTCTAGATTTCACATTTAGTGTCATAAAAACTACTAAACACGTTAGAAAGAGATAGGTGGAACAATAGCATTCTCACTATCAAAGCACGATTCTTGAATGGTGCAGATGTTATAAATTCACTAGGTCTTCAGTTTCTCCCTTCCTGTAACCAATACTCCAATATTATAATCAAATCTTACTCCAGTGATTCTTTAAGAATGAACTACATATGTCCAGGAGTGGGATTCAACCGGTGTTACTACTGGTTTGGTGACTGCATTTTACTGCGCGTGCATGTAAAAAACCTTAAGCTGTGACACCAGGACAGCTGATAAGCGGGTGCACAGCATTTGAAAAGCCACTTTTTTCCTGCTTTTTCAACCTCAGCTGTGCCGCGCAAAGCAGCTGAGGTTGAAAAAGCAGGAAATAAAGGCAGGTAAGAGCCCGGGCAGGCGGGTGGGCCAAACAGCAGCAAACACAGAACCGGTTTGGTGTCTGCTGCTTTTCAGAAGCTACTGGTTCTATAGAGCCGAGCAGAACTGGTAGCATCCCACCCCTGCATATCATATGTCTATAAAATCCATACATAATCTTCCAGTAGAATATTTTAAAATATGATGTATTGCTGAGAGAGCCAGTTTGGTGCAATGGTTCAGTTATTAGGCTAGAAACCAGGAAAGTGTGAGTTGTAGTCCTGCCTTAGACACAAAGCCAGCAAGGTAACCTTAGGCTAACTCACTTTCTCTCACTCCTAAGAAGAAAGCAAGGGCAAACCACTTTGTAAAACTTTGCCAGTAAAATTGCAGGGAGTTGCCCAATTAGGAAAAGGAAATGATTGATTGAACAGAAGAGGGGGAAAAAACAGAGTGTAAAATGTCGCTTGTAAGCCCTTTGAGACAATTCCAGATAATTTATATTTGAACAAATTTTACATGCCTTATAATCAACTTTTTTCCATAATAGCTCAAAGCAATTGATTTGAAGTATCTGATTATGGAAAGACATGAATGAAAGATAATGCTTTCAAATGCATTTGGAATTTGGATACAATACAAATTATTGTATCAAAAGTACTGATTTATTTTTGCTGGAACACTTGTTAATATTCAGGAAGAAAGGCTAACTGTGGAATTGTCCTTTTCTTTGTTTACAGACATTATCCAAATGTTGTATCTATTTTTGTTCCTAAATTGAGCTTCCTCTTATTTCCATTTATTTTTGAAAAGAGTAAATTAAATCACAATTATTTGGTGCGGAAATATTGTCTAAGATTTCCTTTTAATTTTTTCCCCAGTGGTCTCTTTGCTGGCAACATCACAGAAATGCATTATTTGGAAGATGGTACTAGCACTATTATCACGCGTAATTACACGGTAAGCTTTGTGAATTCCTGTGGTTGGAAGTCAATGTAAATAAAGTGGGTAGCCAAAATTTGATTTTAGATTTTGGCTGCTGTAGTTTACTCACCCGTTTGTTCAAAATGCATATCTGTGGAAGGAAATGCTCCAATTGAACTATGATGTCAGGACTTTAAATAACAATAATATTTGAGCACTTATTCTTCTTTGAAAATATGCCTGTTAGAGGTTTCAAACAGGTTGAAAGCTCTACGGTTGCAAATATGTAGCATGAGAACCAGATTTTGAGATATGGAAGCTCTCAAAAAAAGATTATAAAGACTTCCTGGCTTTCTTCAGTACAGGAGCTAGAAAGTCTTTTTTATTTCATTTTCATGGGATCAGACCCTTAAAATATATTATAGATGAGGTTATGGAAGAAGAGTTGATGAACGAATTCAAGCTTTGCCTGATATTTATTAAAATATTAACAAATATCTTTACAAAGCATTATTTTCTTTTTAAACAAACTTTATTAATTATACAACTAAAATGTCAAACAAACACATAAACAACACACAAAAAGAGAAAGAAAAAAGAAAAAGAAAAAACTATTTAAAAAACCTAGCAATTCTATTCTCGACAGTCTATGGTTCCCTGTTTGTTATCAATATTGGTGACATATTTACAAATACATCTTATTGTGAGTATATAATTACTACCTCTTTTACATTTTACGGTGTTTACTAATATATTTTCTATTTTTGTTCTATCCAGTCATACCAGCATTCCCAGCTTTTATAATATTCTGATGTTTCTTTTTCCTTAAGTGCTGAGGTTAATTTATCCATCTCTGCACAGGCTGTTATTTTCTGAATGACCATTTCCTCTGTTGGAATATCTGCTTGTTTCCAACACTGTGCAAAGTTATTCTGGCTGCAGTAAGAATGTGTAGTATTATATATTTGACTTTTTAGAAATTTGTCTATTAAATATCTCCAGTAAGAAGAATTCTGGTTTTAATTCAATTTGCTCTGCCGTTATTTCCTCCAACCAATTTTTTATTCTGTGCCAGTATCTTTGGGCTTCAGTACAGGACCACCACATGTGAAAGAATGTTACGTGTTTCTTTTTACATTCCCAGCAATTCTGATTCATGTTAGGAGACATCTTCGCTATTCTCAACGGCGAGAGATACCATCTATAAAACATTTTATAGGCATTTTCTTTATATGTTGCTGCTTTTGTGATTTTATTGTTCCTTGTCCAGACCTTTTCCCATTCTAATAATGTAATGCTACGTCCTATGTTTCTACTCCAAGCTATCATGTTGCCTTTGACTACTTCCTATTCTAATTCTATCTCTAATAAATAATTATAAAATTTAGTTATATTTTTTTTATCTGGGCCTAATAGGATTTTATCTAATTGTTGTGGCTTAGCATAAATTCCAAATTTTTTCTTATCCTGATTATATGTATTTTGAATTTGCAGGTAAGCCCACCGGTCTACTTGTAGCCCTTGTTCTTGGAGATCTTGCCATCATTTTAAAGTTCCTTGCGTATCAAGAAGGTCTTTGTATTTTATCATTTTGTTAAGGTCTAGATTATTTGGATGTAACATCACCTCCATTGTTGAGATCCAGATTGGGATTTTTAAATAATGTTTTATTTTATTTTATTCCAATTAGCCAATAAGGAATCTCTAATTATATGTCTGTGGAAATAGTTCTGTTTGATTTTTCCAGTGTCCCATAAAAATCTGTGCCATCCTCCCCGTAAGTCGTGGCCTTCTAGAAATAAGATTCCTTTGTTCGATAGGTTTACCCACTCTTTCAAAATAAGGAGGTTGCACTATAGTATATTTCTCAATTTGGGAGTGCCATACCTCCCCTGCTCTTCATATCTTGCATTGCCTTTAGGTTTATCCTCGGTTTTTTCCCTTGCCAAATGAATTTGGTGATTCCCCCAAAGTAATTTTTATGTATTTTTATTGGTATTGTTTGGAATAAGTAAATAAATTTGGGCAGAATGTTCATTTTTATAGTGGCAATCCTCCCTAGTAAAGAGATTTGCAATTTGACCCATACCTCTAAATCTTTTTTGACTGGCTGTAGTAGTTTATTATAATTATTTTCCATTAGGGTTTTGCATTGAGTCGTCAACCAAATTCCTAAGTATTTAATTTTTTTTACTATTTGTAACCCCATTATCCTTTCCAATTTTAATTTCTATTTTTCTGTTAATTTTTTAGTTATTAATTTCATTTTTTCCCTATTGATTTTAAGTCCTGCAACATCCCCAAATTGATCTAACTCTTTCAAATAGTTCTTGACCTGTTTCAATTGGTTCCTCTATGAAAAAAAACCATATCATCTGCAAATGACTGGAGTTTATATTCTTCTTTCTTAATTTTTAGTCCTTTTATTCCTGGGTTCTGTCTAATTCGTGTAAGCAATGTTTCCAAAGATAATATGAAGAGCAAGGGAGATAATGGACATCCCTGCCTAACTCCTTTCTCTATTTTTATTGAGCGCGTGTACTCTCCATTAATTATAATATTCGCCTTTTGTGAATCGTAAATTGTAGTCACAATGTTTTCAAATTTAGTGCCTAAATTCATATTGTAAATTTGTTGGATTAGGAATTGCCAATTTAGGTTGTCAAAGGCCTTATACATGACATATACAAATTCCCTAGCTTGGGGCATTCTAGATATTTTTCTTCTTCCTTCCTTATATGAGTTTCCTGTAAACATATTATATCTGCATTTTGTTTAATTAGTTTGGTTAGTATTCTTTTCCTTTTTATCCTAGAGTTTAGGCCATTTATGTTAATTGATATTTTCTTTTCTTCGTCCATCACCTAATTGACTCTTGCTCTTTCTCTTGTAGTTACTCCTGTCTCTCTTTGTGGCTGATTGTGCGTCTTCGGTTCTTCTCTCTCTTGTTTTTGTATATTTTTCAAGTTCCTATGATCTTAATCTAAAATCTTCTCTTTCTTGTTGTTACTGAATGATTTTTCTTACTTCTTGTTTTTTCTTCTTTATTTTTGATTAGTCTTATTCTTCTTGAAAGTTTAAGTCTAATTATTTCTCGCTCTTTGCCTTGTAGTTACTCCAAGTTCTACTTGTGGTTGATACTGAGCCTTGCTTTACAAAGCATTTTTTCAATACAAAAAATTTAATACTGTAATGACGTTATTTTTTTCTACTATAAATAAAGTTTCTTAATTAAAGCAATAGATAAATATAATTAATTCAAGCTGAACTTACAACATTAAAATTATATATTAGAGAGAGCTGTTGAACTCAGTGCTTTTCATATTAACCATGTAGATAGTAATACATGAAGTTACAGAATGACTTTTGTCTTATATTGGGGCTGTGGTATTAGCAATGAGTAACTAAACTGAATATTATAATCAATAATTTCATTAAAGGTTCTTTTGGAGATTTCCCTGAAGTTTGCTCCAAATTTTTAGGTGAAACAAGAAACAACATTCGATGTATGTAATTGTACAAAATTATCTATTGTTTCTCATTCTCGGTATTCTGAGGGGGGGAAATGCAAAAAACTCATTTTTCCAAAACTTTTTTTCTCTCTCAGAATGAACATGCAGCTGGCAAAGGGAAGCTGTTCCAAATTCAAAATAAATTTTGAGCTGGATTCCCCTGCAATTGATATTCAGAGCCATAATATATAGTTAATGGGATTAAAAGGCTTTCTTCCATGAATTACCACTCAATGTCTGAGTGCAATTTAAAGGGATATTTGTCACCTTTAAATCCTTTCCTGATTCAGTTTCTGGATATCTATGGGATCTTCTCTCAGTTACATCTACTTGCAGAGAGGACTTATTAGGCACCCCTTCACTTAAGGAAGGCCACACTTAAATTGGAAAGAAAAACCTAAGACAATGATATAGGATGTGCTCTGCAATATGCATTAGTTCAATGGTACTTTACTATGAAGCTCACAGAATCTCAGGGTGGCCATGATGGAACATAAATGTTTTGAAACATATCTGATATAAGGATACAGTAGATCGGGGCTAATAAGCAAAGACTGAATCTTGTCAAGTAGAGTGTAAGGTCTGGAATGCTCTGTGTTGTGAACTAAAGAAATGTGATTAATAAAGATTCATTTACATAGCAGGATCGTAATCCTGCACTTCCTATTGGCCCATATAATGGCAAGTTATGATTGGTTCATTCCAAGCAATCTGATTGGCTGTTGGCAGGCCGAGTCCCATTGGACGAGGTTCAAACCCAATAACATCATCCATTGGTCATCCGGATAGCAGTTCACTCTATAAAAGGGCGGCCGCTATCCGGGGATTTTTGTCTCTGTTAACATGCTTTAAATAAAGAGCTGAAGTTCAAGGTTTACAGTCTGGTCTCCGTTCATTAACCCATGCCTCAAACTTAACACTGGCAACGAGGATGGGATACGGAGACAAAAGAGCTGGCTAAACCCTACAGAGCACCAACCGAAGCACGTGGCTGAGAGCGCACCTACATTGACAGGATGTCAGGCGGCGCTATACCACCCGCTCTTTTTGACCCAGAAAAAGAAGACTGGGAGTCGTATATGGATCGTTTCCAGATGTTCTTGGAAACCAACAATTTAGAGGATGCTTCCACCAGCAAGAAAAGAGCAGTGTTTCTGGCTCACTGCAGACCTGCCGTATTCTGGGTGGCTAAAGCACTTGCAAAACCGGCTGAAGTAAAAGAAATGGATTGGGACACCCTCGCACCTCTCCTGCAGGCTCATTATGCATCCGCTGCATCAACACTGGCCTGAAGACACGAATATTACCAGAGGGAACAACAGAAAAGCCAGAGCTGCATCGTTCTGGGATTGCAGAAGGCCTATGGAGAAAGACAACGTCAGTTTTCCAAAGGCCGTCACCTATGCTACTGCAGCAGAAGAAACCAGGAAGTCGGCTGCTTGAAGGCGCCGCAACCACGCACCGCTTCGTCAACTCGCCCATGACACTTCACCTCATTTAGAGAAGTTCCCGGCAACAACCCAT